CCTTTTCTACTTTCTTTTCAAACAACCCAAACGTGCATCTTGCAAACACTGATTGCATTCAGTGGTTATACAATCTTTTCAGAGAATTTACGGTGAGTTAAAATTCTATTAATCGAATTACTTAGTAATTAATTAGTCGTTGATACTATTAAAAAATTTACTCGATTGAAGTAGAAACGAAAATCAGTGACTTGGTTATCGGTAGAAAACGTTTTGGTGATTCCACAAGACTATTTTCCAGTGTAGAGATGCGTGGCTAAACTTATTTGGTAGCGCACCATACGCTAGTAGTTTAGAAATTCACGTCTTTATGTAATCAAGCTTTCATCCTAATTCAATGAACATCATGTTCTTTGAGTATTCTAGTTACTTCAAACCAAATTAATTTAAAGTAGTGTCGGGATACGATTTAGTTAAGTAAAAATAATTTATTAGATTCAGTCAAATAAAAAATAGTCTATTGTAACACTGATTATTAATTTTCTCAAACTGGTGACAGTGTATTCATGTAAAGAACATACTGTATCACAAAATGTATGTTAAGGTCTACAACTCTTCACAGTATTAGAAAAACAGCGCATGTTTATTAAAAACTATGATGCTATTCAAGGTCATTTCCTAAAATAGTGGTAACACATTATCATATTGATTCTTACCAAAACTACTACCAAACAGCAGGATTTTTGATGAGATAATATTTAATTTAAAGTTGTTTAGGATTAAAGAGATTTAAACAATTGTTTTTATTCTTGTCTGTAGACCTATGAACAGTGGCCATTGATTACAACATAAACTATAACTGAAATTATTTCCTAGGTTGAAATTTACTTCTGTATTACGTAACAGTCGCAGAAAACCAAATAAAGTGTATTAAATGATTAATAAAGTAATAAACGGTGTCAGTTTTATATTATTTCAAGAAGTTTAATAGTTTTCCTAGCGCCCTAATTAAACTCATTTCATTTATGGAAATGCTTGTTATTTGTTATCTTGTCGAATATTTAGAACATTTCAAAAGGCTTGTTCTGAAGATGCAAAAATATTGCTGACAATAGTTAATCTCTTAGTTACAAAAAAAAACAAACACAAGAATGATCTGTTACTTTCAATAAGCCTTATAATGATGAAAAATTTAAAGAATATGAGAAACACAACTTTGATTTCAGTAATCAATAAAAGATTTACACATTGAAAGGAATTTGAATATAAGTAAATAAATAAACAAGATAGATAGACAGACAGGCAGACAGACAGACACACACACACACACAGCTTCACAAACTCACACACACACACAGAGTTAACCATTGTGAATATGAAATCAACAACAGTGAAATTGTTCTAGGTTTGTGGGTACTCAACTTTTTCTCTGCTATTATTATTATTATTATTATTACGCTTAAAAGACATAATATGTGCTTATAATGAGTTATCCATAATAAAAGTATGACATAATTAGAATATGTAAATTAGAAAAATCAATAGCGTGTTAGAAATTGGCATGAATAAACATCATTTTATCATGTAAGCAAAATTAGCTTATACAAGAGAGACTTTATTATTTTATTTTACACATAAACTGAGTAGATTTTATTATAAGACGCATTAATTATTAGATATCTATCTATATTATGAATAAAAAGACAATATGTATGATGTTTTATACTACTGTTTTGTCAGTCTGTATTAAATCTAATCAACTTTCACTTGTTTCATACAAATTGATTCTCAGATAAATTTTTTTAAAGAGAATAATAATAATAATAAAACAAAAACAAAGACAAAGTGGAATAATGAAATTTGTAGAATAAAATAAATTTATTCTATTTCAAGGCTTTTAACCAATTGTAAAAAGAACAATATTTTCAAAAGTACCAACTCAGTGGTGTAAAAGTTATGGCTATGTCATAAGGTCTGAGGAATATGGATTTGAATCCTTATAAGTTATAAATGTACAGTTCTAAGAAATGATATACTACGGAGTGAAACAGCTCTTTAGGTCTTCCTGTTGGTTGTTAACTACGTATTTGAAAACCTATAAAGCCGATGACTAAAGATATCTAATTCAGAATTATCATCGTTAAGCTTTCTTTCAATTACAATTACTATTATCTTGATTTTTCTTAAGTCATTCACCAGATAAAAGTCGATAACCCAGGCACTATAGGGTCGCATGTGAACAGACATATACTTATAAAGACATCTGTCATTGTGTAATCTCGCTAGTTATTACGATAATAATAATAATAATAATAATAATAATAATAATAATAATAATAATAATAATGAAATTGTCACTTGACCGACAAGTTCTTGAAAAGAAAACAATCTTTTTCGTATTTGTGTAAATATTGAGTGTTTAGAAAAGCATAACTAATGGTTTTTATCATAAACCAATAATGAAAATAATCGTTAATGTATTATTAACAACAATTTATGTAAAGCATTAAACGCATAACATTGAAGAAAATGTGAATATCTGAAGTTTATAGTGAATATCAACAGAGGGATTTTATGCCTGAACATGTAGTAAATGAGAACTTATTTCAGGTGTTTTTTTTCTAAATAAGTGAATGATTTTAAATGAGTAATACTAGTTCGATGTGAAGTTAGTCAAACTTGAGTTCAAGGGTATGTTTTATTGGACATTAATAAATCGAGAAGTTTAAAAGAGCAATAGACAGCAATGGTGGTGGTCGTAGGTACTCGACAGGAAACCCTGTGCTTAGTATTCATACTCTTCAATGAGATGTACCTGGAACCTTGAAGGAACTGATGCTCCATGATGGATTCTATTCTTGTTGATGAATGTAAAATTGCATGAAATTTAGGTTTGGGGTGCATAATCGACAGTCACCAATCACCACCTTACATCTCAAAATAGTGAATGCGATATTAAGTTATTCAGATTAGTAGCCACATTGGAGCTTGGTCGGTAGAATTCAACCGGGACTATGAATGACTTGATGTACATGACAGTGGTCAATACTCACTCACCAACGATTTGTATATTAGACAGCTATACTAAGTGATTTTGATAATATGTATCAAATTTTATCAGAGCATATTTTGATGGATAAATCCTTGAATCTTATTTCATGCATGATTATGCATATTTAGGCACTATCATACCACTGCAAATAACATTGAAATGCCCTGAAAATTGCCATAGACAACGAGTTCCTTTTACATTCATCATTATTTTTGTTTTATTTACAAGATGGTCAGTGGAGTACAATAAGTGATACTAATTTGTTTATAGAATGCAACTCCCAATTTACACTAATATGTGATTGTAGAACTCTTTATAAAAGTCAATAAATTTTCTTTAGAAATATGAGTTGATCGCTTTTAGTGTTATATACTAGTAAGATATAATAAAATTCAAGCTTATTATTATAATTCACTTGGAATTGTGTTGGCTTGTATCTTCCCATTGAGGTTTAAGATTGCAGTTGATCAGTCTGTTATCGGCATATGTGCATACTGTGCGTATTCATCATTGCTTATTATTATAAGTTTCAATATTTATTATTTTAATGTATTTTTTACATTGAATGTTCAGACCAAACAAGGGAATAAATGAAAAAAAGGACATTGACTTTAAATTTAAAGAAATCGAATTACTCTGCTCTTTCTAGTCAGTAAACCAAACAAGTGTAGAGAATATAAATCTATGCAACAGATATATATCATCGTACAAACTGGTTACAATTATAATCAAGGTAATTATTCCATACATTTATATTTTATATTGTATAACATAAACAGTTCACCTTAGAGGTTATGAAGGTCTTTATATGTAACGTTTATCAAAAAAAAAATCATGATTATTGATTTTATTCTCCAATTTTCATAGTTTAATTCACAATTGAATAGGTGTTATCCAATTTGTTTGTTTGTTTTTTTTTGTTTTTTTGAATTAGTAAATTACTTTCAAGTTCGTAATTTCTTTCTTAATTTTTAATTGAGTCATTATTTAAAGTAAATTTTATTTCGGTTATTTTGTATATTTGATGACAAACAATTCAAATACTGGTCTTCCTTTTCCCATTTTCACTTATTGATTAATAAATAAGTGAACAGTAATCTTTATTTTTAAAGGGGGAATTATTTAGGTACAATTATAATATTCTTTTTTTTAAAAAAATTGGAGAAGCTTTAAAAACTCGTTTGGTAGATATTATCAATGTTTATTATTTAATCCATATTAGAAATAAAATTAAAACTGTTTCTAAGCACGATATCATCACTATTTTGTGATTATGGAATGACTTTTCAATTGTTGTTCGTGATTATTCATCACTGATATTATAGTTTGTTGGATATGAATGAATGATGTTATGTAATATTCCATAGAATGTTTAAATAGACATCAGTTTGCTATATAACTGAAAGCTGTTATAAATATGAACAATACATAATTAGTACTATTACACAGTACTTAAAGGTAAATGTTTTTATTTTCACTGTTAACTGAAATCTATTGTAAGGTTAATTAAAAATAACTTGTGCAAGTTTACATTATTTCGTTCCTTTCCGATCAGTCCAATAATATTGTACTCTTAGCGAGGCCCGGGTTTGAGTTTATTTGAATTTTTGCTTGTACATGAATAAATAACTTGAACCTAGGGCTGAACAGATTTCCTGTGGTTCTCTTTTTTCTAAATAACTGAATTTATTTATCATATGACTTGTATCCATCTATGAATCTCTACTGTTTAATACAATAACAGCAAACTATTTATCGACAATTTACATAGATCCTATAGACTAACAACAGTAAGTTTTAATTCTACATTTTTTTTCTAAGTAATTATGCATGCTGATCAACCTACATAAATGGATCACCGCTTAATATGAGATATCAGTTCACTAGGTTTAAAACATTTCCCTGTTATATTATATATTATATTTTGAAGGCAAAATGTTGTATGAAATTTATCGATAAAGCAAAACAGAAAATATTTTAAGAATATATATTTATTAATAACAATTACCTGATGTATTTCTTGTAAGCCATCTTTATCAATGATGCCAATTTTTGAATGTTCATACAGTAAACTATGACATATTTTCGTATCCGGATCATAAAGTATATTATAATACAATGGAGTCAAACCATATCTATCTAAGCAATTCGGTGATTGCCCAAAGTCCAGCAATGTCTGCAAATAATTAGAAACAGCGTCTGTATAACTATGAGGAGATTGCATAGTGTGGAATAAGTTTTCATCGAAAACTGACCACAACTCCACAGCTGAGCTGATAAACATCAGGAAGTATTAAATAACCGTCTTTTACAGTATAATATTCTTTAGAACGGTACTATCACACGTTCAAACCGAGAAATTTCAGATCTATCCGTCAGCATTATAATTTCTCCATCACTCTTAGTTTCCCCTTACAGTTTACGTATTAGATTACACAAGTTCATTTCTTTTCCCATAAGCGAACACTCTGTGGCTAATGTGCTTTTAACTATCACTGATACAGCTACTAATTCTACAACTCTTTTATTCATGTTGAGAATTACATCTCATTTCGCTGATATGGGCTTAAAACATGGGCCGACGAACATATGTAGCAAGTTCTACGTTGCTTATGACTGGCTCACTGAAGTGGAATCAAATAGTTCGTATTTTCAACTTTAGTTTGTTTATACCATTACATGTAAATACTACTGACTGACGTTTCAGAATATTATTTGACAGACCACATCCTAGAAGTATGGATGAAAATAAAAATACAACTAATTTCATACATCATACTTTTGAGATGAACTACTGATCACATGATTTATACTCAAGCTAACGTATAAATTTTCATAGAAAAGAAAAATCAATTCTAACCCTAACAAACAGTAGTGTCGTTTCAGATTAGGTAATGAAACCTAAATTCTTCAGATAATTCAAATCATTGGTTTAATGTTAGCAGAATTTTCAGGAGTTTTACTCAACTTCTTTAATGTTCGAAACCAGCCCTTAAACTTGAATAGATAAATGCGTCAGAGTGTTCAGCTATTCTAGTAGTATTCATCATTAGTTTATAATATATGCTTGTGCAATAGAACTCAGTATGTGATTATGACAGAGTTGTTTTAAGCTCGTAGTTTGCGAACACACAAAACCATTGATGCTTAAAAATCCAGTGTTACAGCAGAAAGTGAACTGCTATTAACAAGGATGTTTTGATTCATTCCTTTTATACCATTACATGTCATTTAAAAACATTCATGATCAACTTACCTTGACCCCTTCAAAATTTCCAACGGTTACAGCTTTATGTAATGGTGTATAACCAGCCAGTGAATAAAAATCACGATGTGCGCCACCAGAGATTAATGTTGATATCATTTCATGAGGTTTTGATCGTGTAACAGCTATAGTCAATGGAGTTTCTAAAATTTGAAGGTACGTTATGGAGAACATTTTGTTTGACCAAAAAAACAGCACTTTACCTCCAGTTTTTGGACAGTGTATATTTGGATCAAATCCTTTAGACAGTAATTTCTCTACTTTTTGACATTCTCCACGAGATACGTAACGAAAAAATGTTTTGATGAAGTTCTATGCATAAATATTGGCATCAATAAATATTTAAAGCGATTAATACCTTCGAGAGTTTACTCAATAATGTTGGTGACATATAAAATGGTGGAATTGTTCGACGTTTGTAAATAAACTAAAACAAACAAAATAAATTAATTTTTCGACTGATTTCATTCCTCTTTTTCATACCTCTAAACTGATAATCGTTTTCCCACTAATATACTCCGATAGAAGACGCTCTTCTTCTAGGAATTTCCCTTTACGACTTGGTTCATCAGGTAGGTGTAAACCCATATTTTGTGAATCAGTTAATAAATCACCAAGAGTGAATAAAAGTTTCTTTTTAATATCTAAAATAATTGCATCTCCAATCACTTTTAGCGTTGTCTATAAAAACATATTTAATTGATAAATTTACAATAATTCACAAACATACCTGTTTATTTAAATCTTTAATAATGATATGCAATTCTGTAATTTTTGGCAAATCCATTTCAATATTTGAATTGGAAATATTAGCTAAACTGTTCACACTTTTATTTGAATCACTATCGACTAAATAAGATAAAGTGAATTTTTTCATTGTTTAATATTCTATGTATTTTTCTTCATAAAAAAGGTCATTGGATCTTTTACTTTGGAAAGTGGATTCATTTATAGACAGTCCGATGATAAAGTACAATCATTGATTAGAACAATAAATAATTCATCAATATTTTGATTTTCTAAAAAAAAATAAAAATCAAGAAAAATATTTTTCGTTTTCAAGTTGGTTAGTTATCTTTTCACAGATTGATATCATGAGTCAGTCGAAGCTAGACAACCATGAAAAACCTGAGAGCACTGGATGGTCGTTTCGTCCTAGTATTGGACTCCCCAGTAGTGCGCATCCACGATCCCGCCCCCCTCGAGATTTGAACCCAGGACCTATCAGTCTTGTTGAAGACAATGGTATACGGTGGCGCAACTTCGTGGATTGGTTGGAGTTAGACATTAACACCATTGGATGCCAGCTTAGTGGTCTAGTTGATTAAGCGCTTGGCGTGAGGCTGATAGGTCCTGGGTTCGAATCTCGAGGGGGGCGGGGTCGTGGACGCGCACTGCTGAGGAGTCCCATACTAGGACGAAACGGTCGTCCAGTGCTTACAGGTTTTCCATGGTGGTCTAGCTTCAATTGACTCGTGATTTCAATCTGTGAAATTTCTAAAATCTCCACAAACCCCTTCTGATAGTTATTTGTTTGTAGAAAAAAAAATTTTCCATTTTCTAATAGAAATTGTTTGTTCGTTCTTTTCTAATAAAAATATTTTATATTCAATTATGTAACATTTTCTTTGTTCATCATTTGATAACAATGTATTTCTTTTACTGTTTATGAATATTTTGTTTATAGAATAACACAATTTAGTGTAGTACATAAAAATAATCGTTGAGTAAGCTAATCTATTACTGTCAGGGGTAAATGAACTAAAGCAAAATATTTAGAGAGATTATTAAGTAAGTCAGTTATAATGAAATCTTGAAAATAACAGATCAAATCGAATCCTGTTTATTATCAATGTCAGATAATAAAGTGATAAAGTATGATTCGAATATTACTTCCTGTATGTACCAATTATGTAATCACAGGATTTGGAAATTAAAGTCAAAAGTTTGATTGTTATATCATCCAGTCCGTTATAGAGATTAGGTTTTGATGAGCACATTCTTGATATCCCTAATGAGGTATTTTAACTTGAAAAATATGAATTTCATAATAAACAACAGTTGAATTGCTCATAAGTAGAGATCATTAGTTGTGTCGTGTTCAGTTCGAACTATGAGTAATAAAAGTACCTGTTTTGACACCAATAAGTAGAAGTATTTAGATTTCACCAACACCTGACAATTCATATTCATGCTTCAGATTTCTAATTCATTATCTAAGTAGTCTACTGATTGCATTATCTTTTAGATTATGAAACAATTATAGTTGCAAATTGGACTAAAAAACATGAGTCTCTTTAGACTGTTTGATATGGTCACATTAGATGGGTTAGCTGATGTAACCAATGCTACTTTGTTGTTTATTATTATCAAGTTGTCACTGTTCATACACTTATTTCAACCAGATTTGAAATGTACTTTTGCTTCCATTCTATTACTATTTGTAGAGTGATGATGAACCATGTAACTTCACAGCAAAGTTTAAGAGGTTTCTAACCAATCTGTAGCATAGTATTATTGTCTGATTAGAATTTATATAATATATGTCCATAAACATCTTAATATATAACTATCCTATACTTATGATTGTTTATCTTGGTGATGTGTTTTCAAGTTTCTCGTTGTAAGGTTTGACTTTTGAATTGAATTAAATCAGGAATAGTACAAAATACCTTGATTACATGGGCTAGGAATCACGAAATATAGCGAATCGACTGTAATCAAAAATAATGTCTAGATATCTTGTGTACGTTATCTTGCCAGAAGGTCCTGAAGTAGATCCCACTTTCAGTGATAACTGTATGATACCGTACAGCCTCAAACTAAAATGATACAGTCATCTATTATTCAGTTCGCATCCAGTAATTCGCTCATTGATATTGCTTGATGATGAGAATTGTTTTTAACTTGTAGAATTCATTACGGAGATCAGTCTACAAATAACTACTCATAATTACGTTTCAATTTCAACAGAGGTGTTTTTGAAATTTTTAATAATTTTTGTTGACTAAATTTATTGGAAATATACTAATTGATAAGCTTCATTAATGCTGCTGATTGTATATTAACTATATGAAACAACTGTTAGGATACTCATAAACATTGTCAAAGTACATAACCACTACAGTTTATTTCCAAACTGATTAGGTTTTACATTTTATAATACTATGAATCGTATTCATTTCATCATCAAAAAAATCATTAATCAAACGAGAATACTTATCGGTCTAATGTACATCAAACTTCATTTTGACTAGAGTATGCTTAAAACAGTAAAAATCAATTAATTTTAAAAAGGAAAGGAGTATTTGAAAGACTTACTTTATACTTTTCGAACTTAATTACGCGTTATTCAAAAACGATCTGTAATTACTCTGAGCGTTGATGAATTAATATCTAAAGAAACTACAGTATCCTACTGAAATGGAAAATTTGGCACTACTGGGAAACCTGAGTTTTATCCAGAATATAAAATCTTTTATCTTAACTGAGCATCAGTTACGTACACCAGTATAGAAGTTAGAAATAAACAGTGAACTAGTTTTAATCATTATAAAAAAGAACCGAAAAAAAGCAATGGAAAACCAAAGAAATAGTGGTACTTGTAATTTGATGCCTTGTATTCGGGGTTCATGTAAGAGTGAATGAATCTATGGTATTGATCTCTATTTTGATTCCTAATATTCCATATTTTCAATCAGTGAATTCTGTTAACCTGAGGAAGTTATATGTTCCACTGATTTACACAGTCTTAAAATTTCCCCTTTTATTTCTGCTTAGGCACTTCACATTTTAACGAAAAGGGAATGAAATATATCGCAACAAAAGTCACAATCGAATGTGGAACGTTTTTTAACTTGAAACAATAACGACATTCAATGGTACTGTCCATGAATTTCGCTTCCTATTTTTTTCAAACAAAATGTAGAGGTTGTCCTTTATGGAATCATAATGGATATCTCTTTTCCGAAAGAATAACCTAACTGCTTCTAATAATACACTCCGGTAGCAGCTCAAATAGCTAATTGGGATTCTAGCTGATCATGTACACTACCAAAACTATTTCTTAATTTCATGAACGTTTAATATGATATATATATCACCGGCTATAGCATTTAGGTCAAACGTTCGATCATTACACAATATTTCATAACCTACAGATCTTAGATAGATTTTAGAGGTCAGTATAGAATTTTTCGATGCATTTTATGTTAACAAATCGATAGCACACCTTTAAAAGTTATAAACTGTCAATGAAACAGATAAATGATATAAATTTAAATGTTCGTATTCTTGTCCCCTGACCATATAACTACAAATTTTTGGTTGGATCACTTTATACTCGGAACATGATAATATGAAAAATGTTATTGCTGTTGGATATTTAATATTCAATATTACAGCATGTATTTAAACTAATAAAAGATTTTTAGAAGTCTATGGTAATTATTAAAGTGTGTCAGCTTACCGATTACGTGTGCACGATTTCTTAACTAATCAGATCTTAATGTCAAATGCTTAATGTTACATACTTTCAAACAATTTATCAGGAGTAGCTTCCCCATCTACTTTGATGCATTTTCAGTTTCAAATAATAACATCCGAAACACGTTTCCCTCTAGCCACTATCCAACTCTGGTCAATACAATCTTAAGAGTTACCACGATCCGGTGAGAAGTCACTATCTCCATTAGTGGCTTAGTGGATAACGTATCGGTGTTTTGAAGCGATTGGTGTAAACACCACCTTGAGATGCACGTATATGTAACTAAAGCATCCGAAAAAGGACGAAACAGCGTGTTCTTGACTCACTAATAGATACGAATAACACTAAATACTTATGTACATAACTTTCTTGAAGTATTTGTACCAATTAATTTCGACATTATTTCTTATCATTTACTATTTGTTTAAAAATACAGTTGTAATTAAAAGTATCAATGTTTTCGGATTGTTTTGACAAAAAGGCAAAATACTAATTCTACTTACTTGCATTTAAACCAGTAGGCATACTTGCCGTACGTCGCTTCAACATTGAACGATTAACCGTGGATGTGGCCTATCAATATTCGTTGTACGATATTGGAAGAAGTTCGTCCTGTATAACGAAATTGTGATTTACTTAAACTAGGTGTTGATAAAGGTCTTTTAGGTGCTGGCGTTTCTTTCAGTCGAAAAAATGCATGATGTTCGACGGCAGCTTTCCACAGTCGATTAGCTAAATGTGGATTTAACAAACGAAAGCCTACAATAGCTTCTACAGGTTCTGACTAAAATTGAACAAAAAAGGCAATTGTTAGATAGGCAAGAAAATATGTCAATATTGTAAACGGGATTATCCACTACGTAAATTAAACTGTCATGATGATTGAGTATAAGTTGATACCTCAAATGTAACCAAATTATATCTAGTTTTGATTCAGAGCGAAAGCAAAGGTATATTTAAGTTTGAAGAAGAAAAGACCAACGATGTAAGCGTAAAATGTTAACTAGGGCAATTATATTATATAAAGTACTTAAATATGGGACGATAGTTTTATTCTAGTGATCAGTAAACAGTTATAAAACTCCTACTAAGCTGAACTTTCAAACATTCAGTATAGAACGGATTGTTATATTATTAATAATTAAACTAATTCAAGGGTACTACGAAAAAATGCGATACCTTTTCGACAGAAAGTATATACTACACAGAAAAAAATCTCAATTTAATTCAATCATCAACAAAAATTAGTCATTGTGATAGAAAGACCAAAGTGTTTCTGAAACAGTCAGTTTCTTGAATACTCGAGCACACCTGTTTCTCATCTTTCAATTTGATTAATATGCACATGAAAACTAATGTCATGCAACCTATAGATTTAAAGCCCGAAAATCGATCATGGAACATTTCATTCATACATGCATGAGCAAATATATACATACAAACAAACACTTGTAGAAAAGGTTAACATGATATTGGAAAAACCGAAAATATGATAAACTATTCGTACAACACGGTCACACAGTTGTTTTGCTCATTAGA